GTACAGGAGCACATCAGTAGTCTCCTGTGATCTCTGGGAAACAACTCTGTGTGGCACTTCCACCTCATACACAGGAAGGCCCACTCTGTCCTGCAGCCAAAACAAGCGGTTCTCCAACTTAAAAATGCATCGGGCTGGGCTGCACCTTGGCAAAAGAATGCTTGCCCAGCAGGCACGAGGCCTGGGTTCCACCCACAGCACCAAAATAAAAAGGGTGGGGCACATCAGATCCGCACAGAAGGCATCTGCCAGCATGGTCGCTGTGCTGCATCCCCACAGGATCAGATTCAGCAAGTGCGGGGTGAGGCCTGAGAAGCAGCATTTCTGTAGGGGTGGGGGTTTAGCTCAGGGACAGAACCCCCACAGCGTGCACAAGGCCCTGATGATACAGAACTTTGGAAATGGAGGGCTGCCTTGCTTGCTTTGATTATTAATTTGCTGGACGCCCTGCCCGGCACCAACCAATAAGCAGAGTTAGTGTTTCTCACAGTTCCCAGGGGCAGCGGCTCTGCTCCTGGGGAGGACCCCAAGGGACGCACACGGGGCCCAGCCCATCAGGTGCCTGATTTCAGAAATCAGCAAAACTCCTGAGCCCCAAGCCCTCAGCTGCAGTCTCTGCAATCAGCCCCAAGGCCTGGAGTAGACAGGTTCCCAGTTCTCTGTTGAGGCACACAGAGTTTCAGAAATGTTTTTTGGAAAGAAAACTCATGATGAAGGAGGAAAATACAACAGCATTTGAACAGCGTTGGTGTAAAGCATTGAGAGACATCTGAATCGAAGCCACCAGCTGCTTCAGTATGGAATTGGGCCCTGGCGTGGGGCTCCTGCTTCCTACAGGAGAGGTTTTTCCAGGTATAGCTGCTCCTCAGTACCCGTGGGCGAAGACTTCCACCTGCCCCGAGGCTCCCAGAATCTTAAGGAAACTCAAGTCCCTTGTGTATAACCTATGCACATTCTTCATATACTTTAAATCAAATTGCCTTTAAAATTACACAAGTTGCAGGGAGCTGGGGAGATAACTCACTGATCTACGCACCTGCCTGGCAAGCGCAAGGACCTAGGTTTGATCCCCAGCACCACATACCATGCCAGCCCTGGAGCCAGGTGCAGTGGTGGTGCACACCAGCAAACCCAGCGCTGGGGAGGCCGAGACAGAGGATCACTACAAGCTCGAGCTGCGTAGTGAGACCCTGTACCAAATAAATAAAAGGTTTTTTTTAATTATACAATTTTAAGAATGAGGCATGGGGGGTTAAATGTGTTTCTGAAGATTTATGGGCTCCAAAGCATTAGCTGGAGAGGCTGAGGAAGACCCACCCTGCGTGCTTCTGCTGTGCTTCAGGAGCCATGCCCCGTAGCGCATGAGGAACCCTACCCCAGCCGACAGTGGCCCTGCTCTCTCTCGCACTACCTCACCCTGTGCCAGGCTGCTCTGCAAAGGTGTTCCTATTGCAAGCAGGGCCAGCCATGCGGTCTTCTGAGCGGGGTCAGCCCAGGGGACTTGGCAAGCAGGCCACGGCCTCCCAGCCAGAGTACTGGCTGTCCAGAAGAGAGCAGGGACTGCCAGGTGAGGGAACGGCCTGGTGACACAAGGAGCCTTTTCCATGGCTGACATTCCAGGGCACAGAAGGTCTGCACCCAAATGAGGGTTCCAGTCACTCCCAAACAATCTAAGGTAAAGATGTAAAAGCAAATACACCCTGAACTAAATATATAAATATATAGATATAGATATAGATATAGATATAGATATAGTAAAAGCCAATACAAGGGTAAGAATATAGTTCAGTGGTAGAGCTCTTACCTAGCAGGCATGACGCTCTGAGTTCCATTCTCAGCATCATAAAAAAATAATAATAATCAATAAAAGCAGTTACAGTAGCCCTCCATTTTCAAGGGCCTTGTGTCATCAGATTTAACAAACTGCAGATGGAAAATATCCAAAGGGGAGTAGGAAATTACATCTGTACTAAACATGCAGACAATTCTTGTCCTTGTTACCTAAACACAATATAACAAATATTTGCATAGCATTTATATTGTATTAGGCATAATAAGTAATCCAAAGATGATTTAAAGTATATGGAAGAATGTGCATAGGTTATACACAAAGGACTTGAGCTTCCTTAAGATTCTGGTAGCCTCGGGGCAGGTGGAAGTCTTCGCCCACAGGTACTGAGGAACAACCGTACCTGGAAGAGCCTCTCCTCTAGGAAGCAGGAGCCCCACGCCAGGGCCCAGTTCCATACTGAAGCAGCTGGTGGCCTTGGACAAGCCCCATTCCCACCTTGGTCTCAGGCTCAGTCACTGTTGAGGGGGAAACTCTGCCTGCTCAGGACTCGGAGCTCCTGGCTGGTTTTCCAAGTTCAGCCCCTGGGCTTCCCACCTCGCAGCCAGGACCCTCCTGCCCTTTCTCATCGCTAGTAGGGCATGTCATCAGCTTCATGCCACTCTGTTCAACTCATATTAGAACATAAGTCTGTCTCCCCTTGAATTATGAAGTTGTGGTAAACAGTTTCCATGATATCCAACAACCCATTCCAGAGGTTCTGCAGAGTTGATTAATCAATTCCCTATCCCTGAATGATCAGACTAGTTCCAGCACCAACGACAGCCAGAGGAAGGGGAGGTTGGTCAGCGCAGAACACGGTACCCCCACTGCGCTGCTGCCCCTCCCCCATGCTCTGCGCTATCCGTGCCTGGCCACACGCCTAGAGGCCAAGCACCCACTCCTCAGGCCTAGCAAGTACTGCTGGCTTCACAGCGCAGCACCCCTCCTGGTAGGTGAGAGCAAAGCCAAGTACAAGGATGCCCCTGTGATCAAGGGGGACCCACATTGGCCACCTGCTGCCACTGGACACCTACTCCCATACATCCATTCACCTTACCTGCATCAGGATGTACTCCTGAGAGCGAGCCCACGTCACAGACTCTAAAGTGCTTTCTGAGCCTCAGGGTGCTGTGTGTACTAGGAGCCTTGCCACAGCACCTCTGCCACCACCCAGTGAGATCTAAGAAGATCGAGATGGACAGCACCCATCAAATCCCCTCACCCCAGAGATCAGGCAAGTCAGAGCCCAGGTAGCTCTCCTGGGCTGTACCACTGGGCCTCCTTGCCCAATCTGAGTACAGCCACTGCAGTTCAGCAGCACGGGGCATCCACCCCACGGTGCCCACTTGGCACTAGGTACAAAGAGCAGCTCTTCTCAGACTCCAGGAAGGTCCTTCCCAGGAAAGTCATTCAAAGAGGTGCAGACAGCAGAGATGCGGGGGACACTGGGTCCCTGTGACCGTCCCCAGCACACGTACCTGACTGTAGGCTGCTTGTCCCTGTGGGTCACATACACTGTGTGCCAAGCTCCCCTGGCCAGGGACCAAGAGGACAGTGGGCCTGCACAGGTGGACAGGGAGGGCATCCTGGGGCAGGTGGGCAGGCGTTAGCACGTGCCTCTCTAGAGCTGCAGTGTTCAAAGCTGTGGGGCCCGCTCTGGAGAACCCCTCAAGCACTCATTTCTACCACTGGCGATCAGGCCTGATGCTAGCGGAGACCCCTCACTTGCATCTTAATTCCACTGTAATGACTGCCCTAGTCTGTGCTCTGCTGCTGGAATGGCATGCATGCTGGGAAGAGGAAGGCCAGAGATCCAGAAGCCCTGCTCCTGCAAGTTCGCTGGGCCTCCAAGAACCAGGCAGAGGGACAAAAGAAGTGTCTCACAGGCTGGAGAGGCCAGACCCAGGGACCCAGCGGAGAACCAGTGACAGGGCCAGGGCTCCACACGACCACATCCAGCCCCCACTCCTCCCGCCAGCCCCGTGTGGGCAGACTGCCTCAGCCTGGCCCCTCCCTTGCCATGGGGTTCTGCCCCACCCTGACCCTCCCACACACCCCATGCAGCCCCTCCTTGCTGATGCCAGCCAGGGGAGTGGTGGGGGGACCATAATGCTGACGACCTTGAATCTCCCACTCCTGGCCCAGCGACTTCCAGACAATGATCTCTGACTTAACACCCCGGGGAAAACAAAAACACAGCAACAAGGACCCTGAGGTCCTCAAATACACACTGAGAAAAACTCAACTCCTGCACCCTCGGAGGGCCTTTCCATTTCCGGGGGCTCCCTGTGCCCTCTGCGGCCCACAGGCTCAGTGCCAGGGACAAACGCCGAGCTCGGCCCCCTCCACCACGCTGAGCCGGGGCAGGCACTTTAACAAGCTCCCGCGATTGTGCACGCATCAAAGTGAGAGGAGGCCCTTTTTCTTCCCTCCGCACTCTGAGCAGTGTTCCCGGCGGCAAGAGCAACAGGGCATGACTAAATGCGCTTGAATAAAAGAGCAAAGAAAAGAAATCTCAGTCTCTCCACTCCTCAGGAACAGAAATAGTTCTGCGGCCTCCAGATGGACTGCACAGTCACAAGGGGAGGTCTCGCCTTCCCGCCAAACTTTCCCAATGGGATGCTGGCACGGGCCAGTGAAACCAGAGAGTATTTCTCTTTGGGGCAGTAAAATGAGAGGCTGTGGCTCACACAGTCCCTTCTGTTATAATTAAGTTGGCCAGAAATTCACCTAAGATACTACACTGCATACCTGACCCTCTAATTATAGCTAGAAGGCATCAGGAGACAATTACTTTCCAAAATAGTCCTTCACAGGCAAGAGGCAAGAAGCTCTCCCGGGCACATCTCAAATGCCCCTGCTGAGTGCTCCCTGGGTGACCCAGAAGCTTCTCCTCCCTCCTCCTCCCTCCCTGGGCTCAGGCCCCACCCTCTAGAATCTGAGAAGCTTCAGTCTTCAGACTTCAGGCTTTGGGGTAGGCAGACGTCCAAGGAAACCTGCAGGCGACTGTCACTGGCCTGGGATTCCCAGGAGCAGCGCCCTGCTCTGCTTGATGCCCTCCATAAACCCAGCGTGTGTCCCTGATGACAGGGCTACCACTCTCATTAAATCCTAACGGGCTAATGAAAAACAACCCCGCTGCTCACAGAGCGTGCAAAACAGAAAGTACCTCCTTGGGCAGCCACGGCCGCCGCCGCCGCCGCCGCAGCAGCCACAGTGAGGGGACAGGCCTTTTTACCCGGGTCAGGGAAAGCACTGCCCTCCAGGATCCCGCTTTTGGCTTCTCTCTTCTCCGAGGCAGTGGTGGGGACAGGCTTCTCCATCTCAGCCGCTCATAGTCCCAGATGGTGACCCTGAAGGAGAGGACAGAGACACTCACCAACACTGCATCCCGACGGGCAGGCAAGCACTGACCCAGATCCTGCTGTCACTCGCTTCTCCAGCCACCAACTTCCTTCATGCTTGTGTAATTGGGAAGGAGTGCTTAATTACTTTTGAAAATTATTCATCCTGAGGTCCATCTGGTCTGCTGATCAACCATGTAGACAACAGCAGAACGTTTTTGTTATCTTTTAGCCAGATTTTGAAAAGTCTGAGCAACAAGTTCTGACGGATGTGAATGATCAGAACTACATGAGAAATAATATGGGCAGGGCTAACCTCCAACTTAGAATCACCGGGGAAATAAAAGTGGAGAGAGTTACAACCACCCAGAAGACTTCAGAGAAAGGCGATAGCCTTCCTGCGCCACCTCGCCCACCAAAACCAACCCTTCGTTTAGTCAGTGAGCTCGTTCATTCACATATTCACCCTCTCACCCCACGCATTTGCATTGTTCCTCGACTCTCGCGTACTCAGCCAATGTATTTTTAAGTCCCCTTAAAGCATCCCTTATCACACCTGGTGTGAATACAAGGCATCTACTGGAGAGACAAAGGGGGAAAATACGTGTAGTTCATTTCAGTTAGCACCAGGCAGCATAAACACAGAGTGGCAGGGTAGCTGGATGGAGGAGAGTAGGCAGTGTGCAGGGACAGCACTGACCCAGGCACAGGACACACAGGGAGCCCAAGATGTGATCCACAGTGTAAATAATCACTCTTCACCAGTGCATGAAGCACAGACCCGGGGACCAGGCGAGGCTCCCACACCAACCCACAGGGCCACAGCCACAGTGGCCAGGTGAAAGTGGTGGTGGTGGAACACCGCCCCACCTGGCAGAGCAAAGAGGGCTTGCTGTGGATGGAATGGGGGGATGAAGAGCCCTCAGGGCTCCAGTGGGTGGCATCTGATACGGTTGTGTAAGGCGGCTTGTCACTTTCACACATTGCTATCTGTATCAAATACTACAGAATACAATAGGCAAGTCAAAAATTTTGAAAGGAGGGTGAGCCCCAAATGGCTCTATTTTTGGTGAGTGGCAGGATGGATGAATGGTGGCACCATTTACAAAGATGAAGAGAGAGTTGGGGGTGCCGTTCAGTGTGACGGCACTTACCTAGCATGTGTGAGGCCTGGGCTCAAGAAAAAAAAAAAAAAAAAAAAAAAAAAAAAACCAGAGCAGCAGAGGAGCTTTGGGAGCAGAAATCAAAAGCTGTGTTGGGTTACACAAAATTCAAAATTCCTGTTGAGACCTGCGGTGCAGACTGTCGAGAACACAAATCTGGAGCAAGGGGGAATCACTGGCTAAAGGAATAAGGCCGATATTGGCCCAGATGGCCAGGATGGTGGAAAAGAAGAGAAATGTCTGGGACAGAGACGCAAGACAAAGAGCCACTGCCAGCCAAGAACAGAGAGCAGGATGGCCGGACGTGGGGGATGAAGCAAGCGGGAAAAATTTCGGCAGAGTACAGGGTTCCGGAAGCCAGCACAGGAAGGACACACTCAGAAGACGAGCAATCTCCATCGCCTTGGAGAGACTAAGAAGACCGGCCAGCGGCTGAGCAGTCTCGACTGGCTAGCAGTAAACAGAACTAGAGTGGAAGTCATCCCATGGTGGCAAAATTGGTAGGGGGCTCCCACCCACCCGAGGCTGGGCCAGTGTGCTTTGCAAATATGGTGGTCACACAAGAGTCCCTATTTGCTGAGGCTACGCAGGACAGAGGAGTTGCTGGGTAACTGTACGTTCATTCACTCGATCTCGTTTAAGCAGTACTGAGGATCAAATCCAGGGCCTTGCACTACTAGGCAAGCGCTCTAACACCGAGCCTCTCATGGCCGGCTCCCAACTGTTACGTGTCCACCTGGGCCACTGCCTTCCTCCTTGAAGTCCAGGCTGGACCTTGTACCCCTGGGTCCCCAGGCCCACCCAAGCAGGGCCCTACTCACTTGCCAAGGGGATAAATTAGGGTCAGGAAGCCAAATCTCTGCCTGGGAGCGTGGGTCTCTCCGGACCAACCAAACGCCAGCAGGCGTCAGCCACACCAGCAGGAAGGAGACAGAGCCTCAGGACCTGCGTGACCAAGACCCAGCACAGCCCCAGAGAAAGAAGGCACTGACCTGACTCTCTGCAAATGCAGATGGGGAACTGAAGGCCAGGCCAGGCGCCACAACTCCGAAGCCACAGGTTGTACCACTGGGACACAGAAAAGAGAGAGACTGGGAAGACCAGAAAGAAGCAACGGAAATGGCAAAGGCAGCTGCTGGGGCCCTTGGCGGGTCACCGGTGAAGTCCTAAGGCTGCGCCCTCATCACAGGCTCGGCGCGCTTTAGCAGAGGTTCTGTGGCTCGCTTTCAGCCCTTCCACCGTGTGCGGATGTGTTACTCTTCTGTCCTTGCTGGGACAAATACCCAGCACTCAAAACAAGGGAAGAAAAGGTTTATTTAGCTCACAATTACTGGAGGTTTCAAGACTCTGCCCCCACTCTACAGGGTCTGGAGGAGAGGCTGGGGTGCTGCCGTGTCCAGGACGTCCCTTCCCATATCTCCAAGAGAGGCCACCCGGCCTGCGGTGGTGGAGGGTAGGGAGCAGCAGGCTGTCAGTTTAATGGTTCACGCCCGCCTTGGTCATCTGTCCCCGCCTATCAGGCCACAAGCTGCTCACGACAGGCCCATTTACATGAGGCTTTGGGGGGACAACTAGATACAAACCATAACAGTGGATGAGCCACAGGCTTCTTCTCCAGGGGGGAAAGGGCACCAAATCTGCAGGAGCCTCAATCTCGGGCTTCTGGACCACTAAAACAATGAGCCATATGCATAACCCTGCGCTGCTCCTGCCCAGCCCAGGCTCCTGTGCTCTGTTCCAGCAGCCCACGCTTAGGAAGGCTCTGCAGCATCAGCCCCTGTGCCAGCCACCTGCCTGCTAAGTAGGTGCTGTCCCAGGAAGGAGCTGAGGCTCCCCTGGAGATGTGCAGCGCCCAAAGCCCCTTCCCACGGAGTGAGGAGGGACAGATCTACACTCCAGTCTTCTGCTGAAATGCCGCCTGAGGCCTTAGGGCATGGTCACTTCAAAAACTGGGCTAGGAGTGTGCTCAAGAAGAGAGGTATTCACTCTGATTCCCAGGAGCTAGACCTCGACAGCGTGACTCAGCCAGGGTGGGCAGCTGTGCACACAGAAGCGCCTGCGGCTCTAGACCCCTGGGGGCTGAGGAGTGGGTACCCACCATGCCCCTGGCCTCACCCTCTAGAGTGGCTGCTGCCCTCCCCCGGCCACCCCTCCCAAGAGAGAAAGGCAGGAAACCAAGCCAAGAGTCTGTGTAAATCACAGGAATTAGTGGGATTAGCACAATTTCGGGGTAAACATCAGGCACCCAGGGTCCCAGGCAGCCATTTTCACCCCAGGAGCTCAGCTCCACCTGGACTGCTGAGGCCACCTGGGGACAGGGAGGAGGGGCTGGCTCCAGTTCCCAGGCCTCAGCTGGGAGCTGGTGGTCCCTCCCAGAACACTTCCCAGGGCTCCAGGGAAGCTCCACCATGAGGATCTGGGAGCCTCAGGCTCCCCAGGAGGAGGGTCAACAGCCTCACTCTACTGGCGGTGCTCCCACAGTCCTGACACCTGGCATCAGCCAGACAAGCGCCAAAGCAATTGCGGCTGGCCGCACGCCACAGGACTCTGCTGAGCCACAGGGCTGACCTTTCCAGGGAGACAATGCATTCAGGTGGCCTGCCCTTGAGGGCCTCAGCAGGGGCGGCAGCAGCACCAAGCAGCACTAGGCGCATTCCTGGGACTTCCCTGAGATCATCTGCAGGTCTGGATGGATGCTAAGAAAAGCTCCATGACTGCTGCCGATGCACAAGAAATGAAGGAGAAACTGAACAGCATGCTCCTAAGGGCCCTGTCACTTCCAAATAATGTGCAAGTTCCACTTACGACTGCACAGCCTAACTGGGAGAGACAGTTTTACCTTCACTAACTTGTACTCAAATTTGGACTCTCCTTTGGACATGAAATCGGGCAACGAATCCCAATGCATGTGAGCCTGCCATGCCACGTGTCCAGCCCACAACATGGAACATCACATATGCTCACCTTGGCTGTCCATCTGCAGTGCCACTGACCTCGTCATGTCAGGAGAAAAGCACAGAATCACATGTATCTTATTCTATACATTTACAGCATTATTCCATAATAATTTATGCCAGGCCCATGGCACAGAACAGGTTAAGAACTGAGTTACAGGACAGGCTTGAAGAATAAATTAATAATCACAGCAGAGTGAGTGAATCGCCCTGAAACCTGAAAGCCCAGATACCTCCCACCACCTGGATGCTTTGAACTCCCCAGGCAAGTGAGTCACAGGAATTAAAGTACTCTTCCCCGGGCAAAATCAATCTCCAGGAGAGAGATGAGCCCTCTTCTCCGGGGGAGCACAGTTACCGAAGCCATGGCGCTCTCCCCTCCTGTCTGATCTCAGCCAGGCAGCAGGCGCGCCCGAGCCACAGGCAGGGGCACACACACACACACACACACACACACACACACACACGCTCGCACTCACACCGCACACACTCTTCGTGCGTGCCATGTGTGAACCATACACAGCCCTACATATGCACGTACACATGTCCACACACAAGCATGCATGCACCCAGCCTACACACATGTGTATACCACATCACACAGCCCCATGTGTAAATAAGTTCATACATGCAAATGTGGTCACATGAACCATATATGTATATATATATATGTGTATATATATATATATACTCAGCCACACATGTGTGCACACAGCCTACAGTCAAATACAGACATATGTGCATGCTATAGGTACTCACACAAATCCAAACACACACACACTAGAGCTAACATCCCCATTTTGATCGCAGACTTATTTTTAAGATCAAATGAGACAAAAATACATGAAAGGCCCTAGAGCACAGAGTAGGTACCAACACAGAAGCTCAGCAC